ATGATAATAATAATAATAATAATAATGATAATGATAATGATAATGATAATGATAATGATAATGATAATAATAATAATAATGATAATAATAATAATAATAGCACCTGTCCCGAATACTTCATTTCCTCTGATTGATTTATTTCTTGATCACAGAAATAAAGTCTCATGTTCTGTGGTAGGATTCCAAAAAGTTTCTAAACACAGAAAAAGTTTTAAATTGATCTATTATTCATTAAATTTTTAATTGCAAACATGTACTTTTTTAAACCAGTGATAAGGAAGGGAGGCCTGTATATAGAAGTCGAAAATATGTAAAGTAGTCGGCGATAATATCAATACAAAGAAGACGACCTTTCTATTTTAGTTTGGATTTCTAACAAGCTTTTTTCAAATTACAAGTTTACAAGTAAACAAAGAGAAGCTGTAAATTGACAACTTCTCCTTGATTCCTGGATTATGTGTATTCAAATTCCATGCTGTTTAAATCAAAATTTATCACGAAAGTCCTCTTCATTGTATTGATATATACGACGACGACTGTATTATATATTTTCAACAATTAATTTTGTGAAGTTTAAAATAGTTAAATACCTGAATATATTTCTTGAACTGCTTAACAGTTTGTCGAACAGAAATCTTTTCAGTTCTACAGTCGTCTTCATAGAAGATTTTGACACTAATATTCACCTAAAACAAAATATTAGATGGCCTGTAACACTCCCCCTCCCATTTAAAGGGTTGCAGTTGCAGATTCACAACGGTACCCTAACAATGGTTATCTAAACAAAATTAGGAAGCTGTAATCGTTTTTCTGAATTCTGCCATTTTTTTTCGTTGCCTCAGAAAGAAACCGCAACTGAAAATAATCAATTTTCCCGCAGACATTTTTTTTAAGACTAAGCCGGGTACCGTTGTTAATATAATGTATATAAAATACTTTAGATGAATCGGGTAAAATAACGTTGACAGTCCCTTTAAAGAGAGAAAATTCTTGATATTGATTCTAAGTTTAAAATGATCAAAATGTTTAAAATTGCTTTTGAAGAAAAGAAAAAAATCCACATTTAAAAATGGGAAATGTTTGTAACAAAATAACAAATAAATTTTTTTTTCAATAAAATTAATATGAATATATTTCAATTGTTTAATTTTTATTTTACCTCTGGTGAAAGATCTACATTGACTAAAGGTTCCAAAAGTCCATGGATCTAAAAATATCAACAATTTGTAAATAAAGACGACGTTTAGAATTAGGAAATACGACATTTAATAATAAATGTTATACAATTAAAAGAATCCTTGTTTAAAGAACCCAGAAAAAAGAACTGTCATTTTACACTTTCAAAATACATCAAAACCTTATTTTAATTTTTTTATTAATTCCAATGTAAATTATGAATTATGATGCAAGATGCAAAAAATACAATTAGCTGCAGCCAGCATGCAGGGGCAAATACAGTCATTTGTTAAAAAGGGGGGGGGGGCTTAACATTTCAGGAGATGTAGGTGGTAGCTCTGTTTCCAATTTTCCGGAGGGAGGGGGGGGGGGGGCTCAGCTCTGTTTTATAAAAACCATAATATTATAGGATAAATGTTGTCTTAATTCTTTCTTTAACTAAGAGAGATCTTTTTGAAATTGTCATTATGTTCGGGGCAAATTTCTAGAAAAGCATCAGTTACAATTACAAAACCACAGCGGCATTTCGTAATAAAAAGAGAGAGAAAACATCAATCAGTCCACTGTTTTCTAGTAACCACTGTATGGTCATTATGTAACCTTAGTTTATACTACGTGTACCTGAACCAGCTCATCAAACCTAGCAGGACGTTTCTCCGGGTCTGTATCAAAGTAGTACCGGATAAACGCTCTCTCTGCGTCCTCTCTTTCATTCGGAGAAATCGTGTCTCCTCCGTTGAGAACCTTAAAAACACAATTACAAATGTCGTCATCTGAAGGAGAAAACACAATTACAAATGTCGTCATCTAAAGGGGCTGTTCACCTCTTCATGGAATGTTTTTGTCACATGAGTTTTTGCCACAAACTCTAACTTTTTAATTCCTATATCTTTGCAACCCGGTGTTCAAACTATGAATTCTGTCAGATCAAATTGTCTAAGTTTAAAATATCATAAAGTTTACTTTATCAGGTTGAAAAGATAAAGAGGTTAGAATATTATCAGAACGGTTAAAAATTTGCATTTTAAACATCTACAGTATTTTATTTAGGCTTGCACAATAATTTTAAATATTATCATTTAGCTCGTCTGAAATAGACAATTTCGTTGACCGGGAATAAATTGACGCATGCAATTTTTTAGTTTGGACCGTTGTATGTTTAATTTCAGAATTAGTTTGAAAATTAGTTGTTTAACCTTGATATTTGGTAGGCGAGCTATAAGCATCATTCGCCGTTCTGCCAAGGGATATTCTTCCAGAAATTTACAACCCTAAAAATAGAAATATTTACACTTTATTCAAAAGTAGCTGAACTGCCCGGCGTTGCCCGTGAAATTAAAATAAAATTTGATTTTTTAAAAAATATTGCGAATTTAAACAAAAATTGATTTTAATAAGAAAGTCAGAATTTGAAGAGGAAAAAAAATTTAGATTTTTACCCTATGTTACCCCAAGGGAAGCCATGAGTTCCATTAAAAAATTTCAGCCCAATCGGTCCAGCCGTTTAACCGGCTATAGCTGAGAAAGTTGGTGAATAGTTTTAAATGTCTTCTTCCATAAGAGATTAAAATAATTTTGCAGATTATTTCGTTAAACAAAACTTTTACTCAAATATATTTTATTTTCTTATCAATTTCACTACAATATGATGACCATGTAATATTTTTTATAATTTTCTTAACTTAACAAATCATGGAAGAAGACATTTAAAATTAATCATCAACTGTCATGTTTCCTGGGACACCCTGTAGATTAATACATCTTATTTGTTTGTTTATTTGTCTTCAATAAAGTCGAAGTTCGTAAATAAACTTTTTTTGATATCACTTAATAAAGTTCGAAGTCCGAAAAAGAAGTAAAATACAGGGGTAGACAATTATATCAATACGATGATGACGACTTTCGATTTCAATTTTTATTTATATAAAGCTGTTTAACAGCATGGATACACAATACATGAACATAGTAATCAAAAGAAGCTGTCATTAAAAAAGCTTCTCTTTGATTACTTGAAAACTTGTAAATCGAAAAAAGCTTGTTAACAATCAAAACTTCAATAAAAAAGTCGTCTTCATTTTATTGATATAATCGCTTACCACGTTTTAAAAATTTTTTGAAGGAGACTTTTACACCAATACCAAATTCGACAGAATTAATATTAAAAAAACTGTTCAATAGTGTAGCGGTCGGCGTTTATATCAATACAATGAGAACACCTTTTCAATTGGAGTTTTGTTTAAAACAAGCTTTTTTCAAATTACAAGTTTACAAGTAAACAAAGAGAAGCTGTTGTTGACAGCTTATTTTGTTTCAATGTTAAATGTGTATTGTGTATCTCTATGCAGTTTGAGAGCTTGGTAGAAATCAAAAATTGAAATCTAAAGTAATCTTTTTGTATTGATATTTACGACGACGACCTGAATTCTGAGATCTGAAAGATTTTTGTAGTTTCTTAATTTCTCCACTTCCTGCCAGGAATTGATCGCTGTGGTGGAAACGTTTAAGGACTACACAAATATAATTCTTTTCGTTATACCAAGTATATGTACATTGTACAACCGTCAAAAAGAGAAAACCGTTTTTTAAACCCTCTCTTTCTTCTCAAAGATTTAAAATTTTTTAACAATGTATGAAAATTGTAACGTGATATTAAAAAATAAAATTATAAAAATTAAAGATAAAGATAAAAAATTGTTAACATTTTTAATAGTAAAATGATAAAAACAAAATTTTTATTAAAAAAAGAAAAAAAAATTTAAGTATTAAAAGAAAATTTCCTGAATGTTAAGATTCATCTCGTCCAAGTGATTGATCTGATTTATCTGATCATTGTCATTGATATAAGCGTTGATTGATTGATTGGACTCCAGGTTTTTGTTCTGAGGAATGTTGGACTCTATGGACTCACCGGACTCATGGGACTCACTGGACTCATTGGACTGGATTGATGGGACTTCCGGGATAGAGTGGACTGGACATTCAGCCAGGTTTAGTAGCTCCAACCTATTATTATCATTATCATCATCATCATCATCATCATCATCATCATCATCATCATCATCAT